CTAGTTTCAAATAATATTTACGAAGTGCAACAAATGTTCACTATACACTTTCTGCGTAGCCTATTCGATTTCTTTGCCCATATATTGGAATTCAGCCGTCAGTACTATGTAATCTAAGGTTCCTGTTACGTCCATTGGCGCCATTGTAAGTTAAACCGATTACGAGATAAAATAAGGCAGAAATTTTCTTTTAAAAACAGTCTAAACCAAAAGTTTGCAAGGTGAGTTCACTTGAACAAATGGGAGAAGCCTCGATTACATCAGTAACATATCCAACAGCTCAAGTTGTTCATCTGAACTGGTTTTGACCAAATATTTTTTTAAGTCATTTTTCTTTGTTTTTATGGCATTTTAAGAGCATTTTATTGATCATTTTTGGTAATGTTTTAAGACACTAAAACCCGCCCCTAGACATGAGTATACGTTGTGTGTGTGTGTGTGTGTGTGTGTGTGTGTGTGTGTGTGTGTGTGTGCGCGCGCGCGCATGACGAGAGAAGAGGGCAAGGCTGAGTAAGGAAATATCGTGAGCGGTCCGTGGCTATGAATTTACGGCATTTCTCCGGCATTCTCCTGGTATTCATAGGAAAAGCCACCAATCACAGCGGCGGCCGGCTAGAATTCTCCTCCAGACAGCAGCTGAATCGGACCTAACAATATAGTATTTGGGATTCGAACCCAAGGACCTCCCGGTCAGAGACACTGCGGAGTCAGTGGCAATGCTGACACTGAGCTAAACTGAGACGGCCACTGACATGTGATAACTGAGGCTTATTTGACACGGAATTTTAATTGGTATCGCGTTACGAAACTGCTCATAACGGCCGGAATTTCAATTAGGTCAAATTGGTATATTTAGAATGATAAAGGAAACGGTATACGTAGAATTCACGCCACATAAAGATAACGCCGACTTACTACTGTTACGGACATGTAGATACGACGTTTCAAGAAGGAAGTTTCTGGGTACCTTGCAAAACTGTATGATTATGCTATTCAAACATACATGCATACAATACACACATACATTTCTTTTTAAATCGCGTGACTCTTCACCCGTTTGAATTACTTGTAGGTTGTCTCGTTTTTGAGTGTAGGTCATAAATAAACTAAACCGACTTTTCCATCATTTTATTTCGCCTTCAACAGGGCTACAATTCTAAATTGATTGTTATCAGGCAAACATAATTTTATCATAGTCATACTGTTAAAGGGTGAATAAAAGAGAAAGTCCTCAATGTAAAATTTTATTTATGACCTGCACTAAAGAACCAGAAACATATAGAAGTGATTTTCATTTTTTACTTTTATTTTACGTATGTATTATACATTTTATGCTATTATTATTTTATACTTTTATAATTTTTATTTTTATTGCTTCATTCTTAGACTGATAAATAAATGAGTTACGTCGATTTCGACCTACAAAAAAATTGACTCATTTGCTACTGTTGCAGACATGGAATCAAGCAGGAAGTTTTTGAATACCTTGCTAACTGTATGATTATTTAATATGGAGAAACCATTCATTCTTACATTTCCTTGTGTTTCCAAACGTTATACGTCAGAAGCTAACAAGCTAATAAATTTTCAAATCGGGTGAGCGCAAATAAAATAACAAGATAATTTTACCTCCAATAGGTTAGAACAGGTAATAACAAACAACATTACATGCCAGTCGCTTATTGTGGAACAGCCGTGAGTAAATGTGAAACTGGTAATAATCTTTTGATATCTCAGCGACGCTACTTACACACAGTGATTCATTACACTCGCATAAACTCTACCAACCGTTTCGTAACTATAAGTATACGACAAACAAAATATCTCTCAACTGTTTCTCTCGCAAATTCACGCAATTCTCCTACATGACTTACGTAGTACAAACACACAGAAGTGCTCTCGGTCGTGGGAATTTAGCAAGGGCAGTGTACACTCTGCTGGTTATGATTCTCAGCAACTTCTATTAATATCTTAGAAAAATAGTAAGTGGTGAAGAAAGGCACCTACCATAGGAAACGCAAAACAGTCACGTAGTAACTTGTAAACGGTAGGAGATATCTAGTTTATTCGGCGAACACACTCTCCAGGTAGATGCAGGTTTTGTGGTACGGCTCTCGTTCACTGAATCTTTAATCTCTTTACGAATCACTCACCTATCTTTCAGTTCAGTATACGACGTGGCTCATTGAATACCTACCTAATGGTTTCTAGAGCCCTGCACTATAATATACGCGTAATAATTTAAGCTCAATCTGACTCGCTTCGTTTGCCAAACAATGTTCAACGCACTTATATTCCGAAATACTTTTCGAGCAAAGTAGAAGCTTACGCGTTTACAAGATGACGGTGATTTTAACGGTTTTAGTATCAAGTCCCAGCTCAGCTTACGGTATCTACGGCCTAGCGGTCTAGGCTCAGTTCAATTCTGTCGATTTCGAGTTTTTGATTCGGCGATCAGAGTCAAGGGGATTTCGTGTACCTGCCAAACACGAGTACACGAAGAGTTGCCTACCTATCAGGGGCGCGATGCCACAAATACCGTATATTCACTGAGGTGACAAAAGTCATGGGATAGCAATATGCAAATATATAAATGGCAGTAGTATCGCGTACAAAAGGAATAAAAGGTCAATTCATTGGTAAAGCTTTCATTTGTAGTCAAGTTTATGTGAAAACGTCTCTGGCGTAAGTATGGCCGGACACCGAGTCCCAAGCGCTTGGTGATCGTTCGGGCCATGAACCCAGGGTATTTAGAAGTATTTTAAGCGATTATTTTCGTGAAACAAATGCATAAACCTTTACTATTATTAGAAAGTTTGGCTTTTTAATTAATAACTATTGAAAAATAAGTAATTGCCAATTTTTATATTATTTTGACATACTTCAATATTTCATGTTGTTTGATTTTGAATAATGTGCGAAAATCAATTTAAAAAGAGGCTAAATGACAACGTCAGAAAGCATTGTAGTTGATATGCACACTCTGCTTCAAGGTCTTGAACCAAGTAAAACTCACTCGTAGCTGGGCATTGAAGAGTGTGAAAACATATCGAACAACACAATGAAAGAGAGAATTTGCAGAGAGTATTACAGAAGAATGAGACTTGTCCTACAGTCCGCTCTGAACTCCAGGAATCTGCAATTGGTATTTTGGTGGTGCCTGTAGTCCAGTACATTTTTGGACTTGTTGACTGGACCAAAAAATTCAAAACATGCATCGGAAAAAACATAGAATTGCTTACAATACATCGTGTCACCCACCCTCGAGCTGATGTTCATAGACTTTATGTGTCACGAAAGGAAGAGGGACGAGGTCTCAGAGAAATTGAAGCCTCCTGACACAGTGCAATAGTTGGAATGGGAAAGTACGCATTCGACCATCAAGGTGACCTGCTAATGAGGCAAATCATTAATTCTGACCGAAGAATGAGAAACACGCATTGTAATTCTAAGCTAGAAACATTGCGAGGAAAACTATGCACTATTCGCAGAATAACACAGACATCGAACTTCTTGTGCTACTTAATATGAGACCAATAACAATGTCTACAAGGAAATGACAAGTTGCAGATCAATAAAGATCAATCATTTGTGTGGCTTAAAAGGGCCAGAATGAAGCGAGAATCGGAAGCAGTTGTAATAACTGCCCAAGATCAGGCGTTGGGAACACATTATCATAAAGCGGTTGTCAAAAATTTCCAAGATGATTAATGCTGCATCTGCCAGCATTAAGTAGAAGACATTGATCATATCGTCTCAGCTTGTGCAACTCTAGCCAATATCGAATACTTGGAAAGACACGACAGGATGTGTAGTTGCATATCTGTACCACTCTCGAAGTTCCAAAAACAAGCTCCAAGTGGTACTCACCAAACCTGTGACGTCTGTTAGACTATGTACCATTCTGTACGACGAACAAACTGATCGCCGGATATTGGCAGACAAACTGGATGTCGATATGCGGGATTTGGAGAAAATAACGGGTCTACTTGTAGATGTTGCTATGCCATGCTAAGGAAGCAGCGAAACGCCCTATTTACAGGATGAGTCATGTAACTTTAGCACCTCCTATAACTTTTGAACTGTTGAAGTTATTGCAATGCAGTTATTACGGAAGTGCATGAAGGATTGGGGCTAATTGATACGTGTATTCATTTCTATTTTATCGATTTATTTTATGTGATATTTGAGGTAAATTGTTTTTCAAATGAAACTTTTTATATTCTTTCTGTCAAGCATGACGAGCGTAAAATGACAATGATATACATTTTGATATATCTTAGAACAGAAGTTTCAGTAATTTTGATTTTTCTGCTATTGTTTAACGGATATTTTAAATGTAACGCAACGCTCTCTTAGTAACACGCGTTCGGGGAAAGGAAGGGATCTTAGTATTTGATGATACGAAACATATTCCAAATATTCATAAAACAGTTGCAGTTAGTTTAGTTTCATGTTTCCATTAATATCCTGTGGTATGACGCCCCTTTAAATGAACACTCTTTTAACGAACAATCGTATTTCAAAACATATAACTTGTAACAAGAGAATATTTTCAATCCTTAAGTAATAATAATAAATATAAAAATGCAGAAGAAAGGAAATCAAAGGTCAGGGAAAAACTGCAACAGTTTTGTGAATGTTTCTTTTGTAAAATATACACAATTTACATGTTTTTGGTGTGTTTCTATGCTTCTGCAATGCAAATTTTCGCTAGAAATCATTTCTTTCAAAAACTTTCATGCTTTTGTGGTGCAACCATCTGAATATCCCAGTCTTTTTATAGAAAACCATATGCCTTATAATTGTTTCTAAGAGGCGTGTTTTCAAACTATTCGACGTTTTTAATATATTATATATATATATATATATATATATATATATATATATATAATATATAATGTGCGTGGTGTGTATGTGTGTGTTTTATATATAATAAATAAATAATATAATATAATTGAATAATAATAATAATAAATATGAATTGAAAAGACAGTACTGAAGGAGAGCGGTCGGGAGTCCCGAGGCTGGTGGGCGAGCGCAACTCGCTGCCCTGGCCAGGTGTCTCGCCAGAGAGAGCGTATCCGCCTCCGAGAGGCGAACAGGCTAGCCGACCGACCCCTGCGGCTTCCGTCCCGTCCTCGCCCTCCTCCGTGGGCACGAACCCTTCTCGTCGTCGACTTCCTCTGCCGACACGCATGCGGTCCGATCCGGCGACCCACCCCGGCGACGCGACAGAGTCCTTCGCACGGGAACGAATCGCCGTCCACCGGGCGCCGTTTCACCCGCAGTTGCACTTCACTGCTCGCGACGGTGGTGGTTGAACTTTCCGGCAGGCTAGTTGACTGGACCGGTCGTATACTTGCATCACTCGGTGCATCGGCCACTGAGAGCGATTCGGTGAGTGCAGAGGACGAATCACACGGCGGCGAGACCGAATCACTTGCGGCGGTAGTTAAATTGTTGGGCTTCGGGGGCGATTCACCACGCAACGAGATGGAATCACTCGGTAACGTAATGGAACCACGTGATAGAGAGGATGACACACACTGCACAATGGGAGAAGCACACGGTCGCGGAGTCGGTTCGGTAGATTCGTTCGACGCACGATTGGATTCGTCGAGGGTGGTGAGTGAATCACAAGATATTGCGACGGGCGAGGTGGAACCGACGTTTTGGGGGTGGATGTCTTCCTGCGAGGTGATGTTGGTTGCTGGTTCTTCCTCGTCGTTGACGTCACTTAGGATTCGTCCAACGCGCACACGAGAACACGCGTCGGGTCCCAACCGACATTCGCGCGTCCGTCGCGGGGGCCTCCGAGGGCTCTCCGTTACTTTCACTTCTGTAAAGAACGGGTCTTCAGCCTTCGATTCATCACCACACACCATGCACCGCTCACATTTACACAAAGGGTTTGCACACCCCCAATCGGTAATGCTACACATTTTACGCAGGAACTGTTGCCTCGAAGACATATTCTTCGAACACGGGAACGGTTTCTGGAATTGCACGAACGATTCACTGAGGAACGCGGATACCGGGGGGAAATGGCGCGGCGCGGTTGCGTCGGTCGAAGGAATCGGATCCTTCGGTACATCGAACGAATCACTCGGCGGGAACGGTTCTTTCGGGGTCACGATCGCGTCACTGAGAACTTGTGGCAACGGGCGCACATCATTTGACGGGAACGATTTCAAACTGGACGCAAACGAATCACTCTGAAGTAACGATTCATTTCGCAACGTGAACGATTCACCACGTGATACCGATTCCGTACGCGACGCGAACGAAACACTCTGACACGACGGTTCCTTCGGCAACGGTTCCAATTCACTCGGCGAGATCGGGTCTCGCGGGGAATCAAATATTTCACTATGGCTCACTGGAGGTCTTGACGAACTCTTTATAACCACAGGAAAAGGATCCCTGACCGATGCAGAGGATGGCTGCGAGCTAACGATATCTGAATCTTCTTCCACAAGAATGGATGGCCTATGTCGCAGAAGCACACCCGAATCGGTTGATTCGTTCCATCTGAAAAATATAATTGTTTTAATGAGAGAAAGTTCATGTAATATTCAAGAAGATGAATAATAAAATTAATGTAGACGCAAACAAATATATGACATTAATGTGACTAACGTAAAAGCATAGAGTTAACAAAACTTCACGTTTGTACGATTAGAGAACAATACACGACTTTTCCTCTCAGAAACCATGGTATGGAATTTTCAAGAAAGCCAATAACAGTTATTCTCAGCACAGATCAGTGGACGATTATTTTGACAGGATTTAAAGCAGTTGAGCATGGCCAAAAAATTTTATCACTACGCGAAATAAACTCTTTCGCAAGAGCAAGACCTGAACGCCAACTGATAATCGGATGTGTCATTAGAATGAATGCAATTGGAGGCTAGGGATAGTTTTCATGATGGTTTCATTTGGTTCCGATATCGACATTCAAAAGAATAATTTAAGAGTTTGAGTTAAATCATGTCGAAAATATCGAGAACATATTAAATCGAATTCTGTCACAGAAAAATTTGAAAAGAGTCCACACACCTCGAAGATCAAGGGAAAATCATCCGATACCAAAGTTGCGCTGTTCACTTTTATCACGCATTCAATAAAAGTCGTAATAAACTATTTTTTCATCAGATAATATTCAGTGTAAATAATAATTCTTTCAATAGAAAATGGGACATTCAATTTTCTTGAATTTATTAAAATGAAAATAATTTTCTCAAACATTCCGCAGCTGGAGATTAACAAAAATATAGGGATTATAATGGTCCCAACATACATGAACCACCTTTCGTGAAATAAATGAGAATCCTTTCAATTTGTTACCACCGACCAGTCTCCCCAATTAGCACGAATGAATGTTAATTTAATTGATCAGATGAATACATCAATTATAATGCGAGAACACAATTTATTTCGCGGTCGTCATCATCATTTGCTGATGAATCGCTCAACTGAATCGCGCCCATAATGCAAGAAATCGCAATTAGTTTAACATGATCAATAAGTGGTTGTCTATATGTTTATATAAAAAGTCCTTAAGTACTGTAAGTTCGTGTTTATGTCCAAAGCACGGGCCTCTGTGGCAGGGTTAGCAACATACTCCCTTCCCAATCTTCTCAAGTACTTCTAGTCGTTTTAATTTTGAAGTGAAACTTCTGATCCAGTGGTAGGACAAATCGGCCTGAATCAAACGAAAAGCGAAACGCATACTTGAATCAGGGCAACCAAAAAGGTTCGATGTCACATTTAGCCGGTTTCGAGTTCACAGTGGGAAACTGTTCTTACAATATACATTCAACTTCCCATGCATAAAAGTTCTCTGTCTGTGATCTCTGTGATCTCTATGAGGTCTGTAGAGTACCCTCCAACTGTTAATGTTAAGAATAAATGTTCTATGCCCGAAACTAAAGCCCGGTATATATGGTACAGTTTTCACGCAGATTCTCGTACAGTTTCTGTTCAGAAACTTCAACATCCTAAACTGGAAGTATAAAATCCAAAAGTCGCACATACACGTTCTGTACATTTTCTGTATGAATCACCAAAAGACGCCACTAGAGGATCTATAAGAGCCACTATAGGGTAACAACTGAATTGCGCCGTCCGAGTACTTTCAGTGGCGGTATATGTGTGTGCGTTCTTGCTGTGATTTTTATACAGTATTAATTAACCATGAGGGCCATAGAGGGGCATAGGAATAGGGAAGGAGGTAGTTCATCACAATTTCACGTCGTACTAACGAACCTTGTCACACCTAACCACGCAATCGAAATGACCGATTACAATGGCGTAGAGTTAGTGAACGATCGTGTCGTTAAAAGCTCTTGAGTCAAACGGTAAACGTTCTTGAATGATTGAAAAATTACGAACATGCTGAAAATTTTTCACGCAGGAATCTGCACGAGAATCTGCACGTAAAACTGTAGCGGGTATACCGGGCTTTAGAAACTTTTTGCTTGCTCTTCACAATTTGAAGAATCGAACGTTTTTGTTTTCTCCGATTCAGTTGTTCTCGCTGCGGCCGCATTCGGTGGCGGTGGTGGTGGCGGTGGCTGGGGAGCGTTCTGACGGCCCCGGAGGAATTTCGGTGACTGAGCGCGTCGCGTTATTTGATGCAACTTCCGTCAACCGTCGCGTAACCTAACGTTTCTCGTCGCTGTACATTACGTTTTATGTGTTAATGACAGATGAATTGAAGTTATGATCTGCCATAAATAGGCAAAACATAATTTCAATGCATAATCACTTCATGATAATTCGACGATTCGTTCAGGTACAAATTCATAGCCCTCTTCAGAAGAAAATACAGGAAAATATGTGAGAAAATAGTGCAACATCTTCCATTATAGTTTTCTCTTGAAATTGTATCTAGACAACAAAGAACATAGTAAGAAACTAATCCTGCATTTGAAAAAAAATTTGCTTTGAATTTTTCAAATTTTATTAACGTGTTTAGTAAATGGTGCGTTTTTCACCCGAGGACACTGCTACTAATAGTAAGTTCATGCGGCTCCTGATTGACGCAAAATCAATTCTCTAAAATTAATTATTACTCTAATAATATAAATTACTCTAATATTAATACCCTAACTCGTATAGTACAGATGAAAAAGGTCAGTGGATCATGTCTATGAAACACAATTCAGATGTAATTGGTATATATTTTCTTTTCTGATGTTTGGTCGAATTACATCTTACATCTTCAAAAAATTTATATGATTTATTTAGAATATTTACACATTTTGGACGTCACTTTGGAAGAACTGAAAACCTTCTGTAAATATCACAGTAATTAATGTTTGACATATTGGAAACCGAGTCACCAATTTTAATGTTTAACTCATGACAAGAGAAACGAAGACATTTGCTTGAAGTATTTACTAAATTCTAGGAATTTTTTGCCACTCAAGAATTTGATAAGTAATAATCTATAATACTTCGCAATGAAATACAAATAAAAATATTTTTTCAACCCTAGTGCTGACGAAATAAGACGCACATTTCTCATTAACACGCCATTTACTCAATGTACATGTCAAATCAAGGACAACTGGGAGAGAAACTAGATTGACAGGACAAAAGGGATCAACAAACCTAAAATATTACGTTTTAGTATTCCCATCAGTCATCTCTACGGAAGATTACGAAGTTTGGTTAGGGGTCGTTGACTTCAACATGCTGATGTAATTATCAAATGAATTGCACACAGTCCATTTGAGTAATAGAGGCTTGGCAGCTGAGTGTACGCACACCTGAACAGCAGTCACGAACAGGGAGAGGCGAGGCAGCCTGATACACGCAACGTCATAGACTCGCTCAAGATGACGAATGACCAAATAATGTTCGGTCCTTTCTTCGAAACATCCTCGGCCTCCATTGTGCTTGGCATTCCAGGAATGGGCAGCTCCAGCGAACTTCCTCCCCCCTCCCCCAACGCGAATACTTCGCCCGGCCGCGCCTGTCAGAGGGGGCTACTCAAAGGAAGGGGGAGGGGGGGGGGCTTTGGAAGTTTTCCACCGGTTTAGGTTGATGGGGGCACAACTCCTATCATAGAAGTTCAAGAAGCGAACACGAGA